GTGCCACCGTGCCCAGCCTTCTCTCTTTTCTTGATACTGAAGAAATGAGGGGTCAGAGAAGTCTGTTTGTCTGCCTCACACCTGCAGCGAGTGTGGAACATTTCAGAGCTGCTGCTTGTGAGGAGGGAGAGCCGCTGGTATCTTTGGAGGCCTCCCCACTTCTCAGCCTCCCTTCTGCCTCTCCCTCATTCTTTCAGTGAGTGTGGCAATTTTCCAAAGCAGGAAGTGAGCTGAGCACAGCACCCTAGGGAGGGCCTCCATGCACGGGCCTCAGGACCGTGACCACCAATGCCCAGGGGGTCCACCCCTCTCCTGGAAACTCCAGTTGAGGATTCTAGCAACCTGACCCTCCTAACAGAACAGTCAGAGACACCGTGAAGGCTCTCTCCACCTGCATGTTCCTCCAAGAGTCATGGCTGAGTGACAAGCACTAATAATTAGCATCTCATGAATGCCAAGCACGGGTGTATGAGCTGTGCTTGGATGGATTCTTCCCTGGCAGGAACCTCAGTAGTTTGTTTTACTGCTTAGGAGACAGACACAGAGAGATTGCACGACTTATCCATAATCACACTGTCGTTCTGCGAAGGTGACGGTATAACCGCTGACCCCTCATGCTTCAGGGGTGGAAGCCCAGATCTTTGCCTTGTAGAAAGCCCTACCTTCTCTAATGCACACCAGAGGAAATTAACTCAGCTGATCAGGGAGTTTCCACACAGTGGAATACTACATGGCCGTGAAAAGAATACAAGCAACAGTAAACGTTGGTGAGGATGTGAGGGGAAAGGTACATTCATACACTGCTGGTGGGTTTGCAAATTGGTGCAATCATTATGGAAAGCAGTATGGAGATTCCTCAGAAAACCTGGAATGGAACTACCATGTGACCCAGTTATCCAACTCCTCAGTTTATACCCAAAGGACCTAAAATCTGCATACTACAGTGATGCAGCCACATCAATGTTTATAGCAGCTCAATTCACAAGAGCCAACCTATGGAACCAACCCAGGTGCCCTTCAACAGGTGAATGGGTAAAGAAATTGTGAGATATACACACACACAGACATACACACACACATACACACACATACACACACACACATACACACACACATACACACAGACACACACAGAGACATACACACACACTGATACACACACACAATGAAATATTACTCAGCTTTAAAGAAGAATGAAATAGGGCAATTTCTGGTAAATGGATGGAGCTGGAGAATATCATGCTAAGTGAAATAAGCCAATCCCAGAAAACCAAAGGCTGAGTGTTTTCTCTGATATGTGGATGTTAATTCACAATAAGGGTGAGGGGGCTGGGCAAGAATAGAGACGGTTTAGATTAGGCAGAGGGGAGTGAAGGGAAGGGCGTGTCTAGGGTGGGAAGGACAGTAGAGCGAGTTGGACATTATTAGCCTTTGTATGCCCACAGGACCCGTCGGATCCGACATCATGTACAACCAGAAAAATGAGAAATTATGCTCCATTTACGAATGACGTGTCAGGGTGGGTTCTATGTCCTGTATAACTAATTAAAACAATTTTTTTAGAAAGTAGTTATCATTGTTAACATTTAGAAAAATCAGGAGGCAAAAAGTTGATACAGAATTATCTGTTGTATTATTTCAACGATATCAAAGTGTCAGGGAAAGAGGGCAAGCTGTTCCTCCCCCACCCTCCCACTCTGCCACTGTCCCTCCACCTGACCGTCATCCATTCACCAGGGTCCAGTGAGTGCCTCCCCACACCTACTGCCCCGGGTGACCGTGAGGCCCTGTGTGCGGTTGAGGAACCACCCAGGAGTGCGACCGCCCCCTGGAGGGAGCGTGCTTCTGGCCAGGTGGCTGCGGTCACCCATGTACTTCTGCATAGAGGTGGTTACGGTGACGGTGGCTGAGTGACGTAGGACAGGGACCCTGGTGTTGTCGCTAGAGCTACAGCCCTGACCTGCACGGGGACGAGGGCTGGGAGGGCTTCCTGGAGGAAGTGGTGTCCCATCTGCACCTTAGAACGTGCCCGGGAGCCAGCTAGGGGTGGCCCAGAGCCGGGGGGAGAGAGCCAGCCATGGTCAGGACAGAGGGACAGCTGGGCAGCTGGAGGGATGGGAAGCGCTGGGGAGGGCCGGCCTTTCTATTTTGCTCTCCCCGTCTTGGTAATGAGCAGCATTTCTGTCATACTGAAGGGGAAAGGCACAAAGAGGAGGGAGCGTCCAGGAAAGGGTGGGGATTCCAGAAACGAAGCCTGAAATGGGGCTGGGTCGGTGCCGAGTAGCCCCCCAGCCTCCCTCCTGCAGCCTCCTCTGGGGCTCTGAGTAGGG